CCCTTGATTCCGTCCTCAACATGGAACGCGCTACACATTCAAATGCAAAAGGTGTTTTGGGAAAGGGTTTTAATATCCCAGGTTCAAACGGGGAGGAGTTGTTTGGGGTTACACCATAATGACGACACGGACAAGGGCATACCAGTTATGCGCCTTGTGTCACGTGACTTAGCTCGTGGTTCGACAAGGAGAGTTTATTGCAACAGCAAAAATGCATCCTCTGCTCTGCTTTCAGCTTGAACGGAGCACGGCATATGACGGTAGGCTGGCAAGGGAGCTCTACCACCTAGAAGAAGACAAGGCCTGAGCGTGGACGTCATCGCTAGTGAACCCGAGGTGCAGACACGCGAAAGCTCGACGAGGCAGCAGACGCGTCCGTCTTGGCAACACCGTGTGCTAGGGTCGCGGCTACTGGGAAACAGGGTTGAAACTTTGGGTCGGAGCCACGCGGGAAGGAGTCCCAATTTTCCTCTGTCCCGCCTGTCCTCAGCTGTGCTAGTTAGTTGTCCATCATTCAATTTTCCCTAGATGATTTCCACCAATCTTCTAATCACCTCTTTGTGACTGAAATCTGTTTCTCTTCTGTTCTTCCATCCCCGCCAGCAAATCCCAGGGCGCCGCGGCCAAATTCGTTACCCTTTTAGGGTAACGAAATGCTCTGGTGTCTCGCTCTCATTTTGGCATGCGGCACATGTGTCTGTCCCCTGAAATGTGGCCCTATACGTCCTTGTCCTCAAAACTCCCGTCCTCGATCGCCTCAAACAGAAAAGAAATTCCCAGTGAATTGCCACATTTTCCTTTCTTATGTCTTATTTTTGTAATTTTGTAAGCTGTACATTGTTAGAGCAGATTTTTCTTGCATTCTTCCCTCCCACATTTTCCTTTCTGCCTCTTTCGTTCTTTTTTCACTGAAGTAGTCCGGCCCCATCACTAGTGTGTTTAAAGGTAAGCTTTCGGGTTCGGTCTGTTCATTTTGTGTTTTAACTTTTCATGAATACTCGAATACCTTCCGTGCCAACCGCGTATCATCCATTTCGGTCAACCTTCGTTCGAATTTCAACTTACTAATTGCCTTCCTGCTCTCAAAAGACGACCAGCCCATGTACCCCTGTACTCCTTCATTTGGTATCTTTTTATGTGCTCCCAGAGCCAATCTGCCTACGCTTCTCTGTCGAATTTCTAATCCTGATTGAACCTCCGATTTCATGCCTTTCCTCATTGTCCAAAGAAATTTGTGATACCATCGCTTTTTTCCATACACCTCTGACCACTTCATATCGATTTCAGTTTCATAGTGCCTTAAGCTTCATTATAAGTAAATTCCTTTTCTCTTTTCTAATTATGCTCTCCTCATGTTCCTCTAGACAATTCCTTCCCCCACTGAGCCAGGCTCCCAGATATTTGCATTTTCCTACATGGTCTATTATTACAATGTCTTGTATCCTCAGAGGTTCCGTCTTTTCGTCGTCGACTTGTCACTGTATACTGAACTCGTGGCCAAAGTGTCCCCTTCCTCTCCATATATTCCAGCTAGTTCTTGTAACGTATCCTGGTTATCTCATCTGCCATGAATACTATGTCGTCCGCATACACCAGAGGTGGCCAGGCTGACCCGACCTAAGAGCCGCAAACAAAACCACAAAACTTCCAAGAGCTACGGGGGGGGGGGGGGGGGGGGGGGGGGGGGGAAAGGGAGCTGCGAGCCGCACTTTAACATGCGAAGAGCCTCATTGGCTACCCCTGGCATACACCAATCCTGATATTACCTGTAGTATAGTTCTCCCTCCCTCCAAATAACTCACAATAATAACCTAAGTTACTTTGCTCTAATTTCTTTTCCCTTTCACTGAGCTATACAATGAAGGGTAGGGGTGACAGCGGATAGCCCCGTCTGAGCCAATTTTATTACTGCTGGTTGTGTATTTTCTGCTTCTGATGTTATACAACTTCCTCATTGCCTGCGTGCACCTGCTGAAAAAACCTAACCAAATGTCAGTCTAAACTATACTCCTTCAGTTGACCCCAGAGTTTTTCCTGGCCCACATTATCATACGCTTTCTTGATGTTCAAATAAGTTAACCATAAAAGAGCTTGGTTCTTTGCATTTCTAAGAGAGTGATAATAAATAAGTTACCTTCTAATTTTCTATCTCTTCGGAATCCATTTTGGAGCTCACCCGCTATATCTCCTGCCTATTCCTCCATTCTTCGCTTTACCATCTGCATAGCTAATCTGTAAAACTGAAGTTACCGTTATTGGGAAATATGGTATGATACGTTTAACAGTGTACGTCAGTGTTACCCGACTCCGCGGGGCTGTGGATTTTCTCGTCGATGGGCAGTGGCAGCCTGCGTAGGCGGAATTCCGGACGCTGGTGGCGGCTAAATGGCTGCGTTTTATTGTTTCTTTTTTGTTTTATGGCAAATAAAACTTCTCGAGGCTTTTAAGAAAGCATCGTATTATTTTTGGGAATAAAAGCAAATAAACGAAAGTTATTTCTGAAGAGCTTGCCCGTGACAGAACAAAATCAAATGCATCTGGAATGTTTCTTTAATTTTATGCAGATTCTTCGCGACGCCATGCACTCAGCCGCGGCAAGCTACAAAGGTCTTAACTGTCGAAAATATATGAGCACACAAGAGAGCCCAAAGGCACGGGTACTCAGGCTTACAACATGTATTGATCAGCTCTCATGAACTGAACAACGTATTGTACGTAGCCCACGGTCAAGCGTTATCCAAACTGGGTTTATTTGAGAAACATCTCTGATAACACAGCATATCCAACCTACAGTGTCGACGAGAGTCACTTTATGACGATGGGACAAAATCCGAACTTATGGCAATTTTTAAAAAGATATTTTTTTAACAGCATTAAAAAAGAAAAAAAAAAAAAAAGTCAATTCTGTTTTGATCTTTAATCCGCACCCAATCAGCTATTTTTCGTTAAGACTGCGAAAATGATAATACAATTATTGCAAGGTGCAAGCGAGCTACACAATAATAACGATAATAATCTGATTATTATCGTTATTCTTGTCCAACTCGCTTGCGCCTCGCAATAATTGCAATGTCATGACCCTAAAATGCAGGCCGTTCACCCTTGTTGGTGCTAGACTGGTGGCAGCTGTTAAAACCCGTTTGCTCTACTGACGTCTATAAGCACCGTTCACACACTTGCAACCGAGTAGGCCGGAGAGTGACAAGACCGGTTTTTAAGCCTCTTGCGGCGGCGTAATACCCGCTCCGTAGCAGCGCATCCGGTCCTCAGACGTCGCAAGCGGCTCAAAAACCGGACTGTCTCTTTCCGTTCTACTCTGTTGCAAGTGGGTGAACGGCGCTTAAAGAAGTAGTGCAACGATTTTAATGTTGAAAGAATTGGCAGTTTGTATTTCTTATATTGTTTATATAAGCACAAGAGACCAAAAACGCGCCACCTTGCCCCTAAAAACACTTAAGACTGCTTACGTGTAGGAATCCGAAAGCATTTTTACGCGCAGCGCATTCCTACAAGCAGTGCGCCACGAGATTCGAGTCCTAATAGCGGCCATACAATCAATATATTACAATTTCGGTTGGTAGTTCCAGACACAGTACTGTATTACCTAACTGTGAATAAAACATAAAAAACTTTTTTTTTTTAGAAAATCGAGATTAAACTTGTAAGTTTTTCTAAACATTTGTTTTTCAGGCAAATGTTCACTGCAAAAGATTCAAACTATACTCAAAAGAAATAGCTTAATTGGAGCTTTACGGTGATGTAAACATCATAAATAATACCAATTAGGTCACACAGCAGCTTGCTGAACTTCGTCAAATTCTGTTGCAGAGAGGCGGTTGACAATTAAAAATCACATTAAAGATATTATGATTTAGACACTTTATTAGTATAACTCGCCGTTTGCATCTTCTTTCATTAAAGGAGTTTACAGGTAGCTACTAAAAATTACAGAGGAGTTATGAGTTAGTGTATTTTTATAAGTCACTTGTATTACAGGGCGACAAGTGAACAAAACCCAAAATGTGAGCTTTCACAGCCGCCATAAAAACAAAATATTAAATTTTATGTTTGTTTCACTTTATAAAGCACTGCGATAGGTAGCTAGAAAAAACTAATTAGTCAAATAAAAGGTAGGCTCTTTAAAAGATCGACCTCAAATTCGCAAAATTTTGAAATAGTCCTTGGTTTACGAGAATACACTGCCCTTTCTCTTTTGCAAACATTAAATTTGCCACGAATAGAATGAGTATACTCTTAGCTTTCTGAAAATACTAAATATGTTACGATATCTCAAATAGGTCACGAGGAAGAACTGGTCAAACTTTGACAAATATTGTCAAAGGGACACATTTCAACAATATCTAAAACAAGTGAAGATAAATAATCGCAATAAAATTATTGCCCATAAATAACCCCTATTCTGAGAGTGGCCGAAAAAAGTTACATTGCACAACAAAAAAAAAAAAAAAGGCAAAAAGTAGAGTTTTCCCAAACATTTTTTTTTTCGTCAAAATTAAAAATACGACCCTAAAATCCGCGCCCGAGTTGAAATAAAACCCCCCATATACCGTTTTTTTTTTCTTGTCTTTACAGATAAAAAGAAAAGCTATATATGCTACACTCGTGCAGATCGCTCGGGCGAGTTTCACGGCCAAAGCGACATAATATAAGGGACTAATTGTCACGACGAGTCTAATAATCAACTAAAATTGTCAATAAACTCTTAATTAGCGTAAAATCAACAAAGTATATGGCTTTGATTAGAAAATAGCCCGGCGAGAACACGTGCCCTCGCGTTCCCCGCGCAAGCAACCCCGGTTCTTCACCACATAGATACTGTCGAGCAGGAGAAGCGCGCCTTCCAGGCGGGCCAGCAGCCGACAACGGAGGGCCCGGCTTCGCTTGCCCCGCTGACGGGTCCCGCGTGCCCGACTCGTCGGAGCAATCCCACGTCCCGCTCGGAAGGGCCACGAGGGAGGAAGGCAGGCAGACACGAGAGCCGAGGGTTTTAAAAACGTCCGTGCCACATTTATTCGAGGCGAGCGAGCAACCGGTGGGCACCGTGCCGTGAAAGCCCAGCCACACGCGACTCGAATGCCCTTTTTAACGGACTTTTACTGGCGCCTCGCGCGCTCGTGAATTCCCATCGAGCCGACCAAACAATCGGACACGGTAAGGTAAGTCTGAGAGAAAACTGGAAGTAGCCCCAACAGCCGAATTTCCAGCTTGCGCAGTTACGGCTGTTACTGGGCAGGGTAGACGAGAGTAGGACACATTCATACGTACTTCGAAGGTGAGACTCTAATACTGCTTCCCTCTCGTTCGAAATTTGACGCATTGCACCCGTCGATTCAGTGTGGGCGTGGTGCGTCCGAAGACATCTTCACGCCTTCTTTGCTCCAACGCCGGTGTCACACAGGTTGCAAGCGATCAAATGATCAAAGACACAAATGCACGCACATACTCCAGAAAATCAGGTCTTGCACCAAAATACGACTTTCAACATTTACAGGTATGCTTCGAACAGGGGTGATGACCAAAGGAATCCTTCGGTGGTACGCCGGATTCCCCGTCGTTATACACGGCGTTTATATTCATTTCAGAAGAATTTTTTTAAAAACGGGGCGATAGACGAGTGTTATCTTCACTACGCATTTATTAGGTTTGGCAGACATTAAAGAAAGTTGACAAATTAGCTAATATTTCTCAATTAACTTTTTAATAATTGGTTTTAGGGGCTATGTTTCAATTTCAGTATTGACAGCAAATACTATTGGAAGCCAGGCCAATTTAAAGAATTTGCAAAAATTATATTTTTCCATATTTTCACAATATTTTGCCAGATTTCAAAACTGTGCGCAAAACAAGCACGCAAGGTCTGCCCACAATGAAAGTTAGAAAAGTGGCGTAGTCGCTTCAGTCACGCGGCCGCTTGTGTCCTTGGCACACCCACCAAGGACACGCTGCTGAGATAGTGATGACATGATTGAAATGACTACGTTGCTCTTCGAACCGTCATTTTGGGCAGGGCTTGAGGCGCTCTTTTTCAGCGCAAGTTTTAAATAGGTCGAAGAACAAAGAAGCAAAACTTGATAGATTAATATTGGAAAAACCATCATCTTTTTGCAAATCCTTTTAATTGGTATGGCCTCTATTAGTAATTGCCATCAATGCTGCACTTACAACATTACCCCTAAAACCAATAATGAAAAAGTTAATTAATGTATTTTAGTTAATTAGTCAACTTACCACGACGTTTATCCTTTCATCCAACGCCTGCCAAACCCGATAAATAAACGGGGAACATAGCCACTCGTCTCTCATCCCCTTTTTTCAAAAATCTGCTCGAACTAAAATCAACCACCCTGCATATTTGTAGCACAGTAGCAATAGTCAGTTTCACAGAAAGTATGCAACAACTACACAGTAGAAGTATGAATACGCAAGCAGAATAAATTAATCATTCAACCGGAAGCCGCCGTTTACGTGGCTACGGTTTATAATTACTTTCTAGCACCCATTACCACTATGTCAAAGTGACCTCTAAAACCTAAACAATATTCGCAATACCGCCGAGGAGACAACTGGGGAACTCCAAAAAGGTGAGGCCACACAAGCCCAACAAAACGTTGGCACAATCTTTTTCACCAGACAGGAAGGATTCGGAGTACTGCAACGAGTACCGGTCTCTGTGGCATGCGCAGAACGATGCGGTACTTGGGATAAAGGTTAACTATTTTACTTCTTTCTATCAGTGGCCAGAGCACCTTAGGGATGGTAATAAATATGTATCCAGCAACTAACAAAAACTGAGCAGTCACAGTAGGTGTCGCACTGACAAATTAACCAATGGAATTCCTGTTCTCGGAGTTTGCTACAATTTGGGCAGCTTTCTGTGGCAATGAAGCCAAAGCTACGAGTGCCCGTGCACTCGCACACCTTGAGCACCGATGAAAGCTGTGCAAGCGCACTCCTCGCTTCTAAAAGGACGCGGAAAGTTGACCCCGAGTTGGCTGGCAGACTTTAAATGCGGTGGCGGCAGTGAACGCCTCCCGGGGAAGGGCCGGGACGACTCAGGGGGCGGCGACTTTCTTAAAGGTCCAGTGCCTGGAGGCCGAGGCGTCGTCGCACATCTCCATGGTGACCGGCTCCCCCGCCGCCACCCGCTTGGACCCCAGGCAGAGACCGGCAGCCAGGTTGTACAGTGGAGCGGCCTTCTGCAGGACGGATAATGCGCCATGCGGTCGGCACCTATAAAAGGCTTTACGCAACCGTAGCCGCTGTGCCCCCTTTGGCAGCTTCGTCGCCTCGGTTCCGGGTGCCGAGCTACCACGCACATCCGCATTGGAAGGGACAGACCCCCGAACTCGGCACAAAAAATGGGAAAAAAAAAGGTATTTGCATCGTCTGCCTGAGAAGCACGCTACAGCCACTGCACATGGTAGCTTCAGCTGCCAGAGTAACACCGTTCTGTGAAGGGCAGAGGTGCGACGACTGAAGCGGCAATGGGAATCTCCATTTTGGTCTCCAATATAACCGTAGCAATGAGACAGCTAGCGGCGCAGGTATTTTACGAGTTCGGTCACTCCGTACGTTTTAGCAAATCGATTCAAACCTGGGAAGTAATTTGGTGATCTGGCCAAGCTGCACTTTGTGCAGCGTTCTGCCTCAGCTACCATCTCCCTCGATGGAAGATGGTAGCCGCAAAAATATCTTTGCACCCATACAGTTTGGGAGGAGTCTATGCAGAGGCATTCCAAATTCTTGTGAAATACCTCCTCTTTGCAGTCGTGTTTTTTGTTGAGATTGTTAGGCCATATTTAGGCATAAACCATGGAAGACCCAAGGCTTCGGGAGGAACCCACAGAAACTCTCCGTTGAGGTTTTAGAGAGCTAAAGTCTCGTTAGATTTGTTTAAGTTAGGTTAGGTTGGGCTCGATTAGGTTAGGCCAGGTTGGTTAGGGTGAGTTATGGACGTACGTTAGAAGAGTGCCTCCAGTCCTGGGATCCCCCCATCTCGTGGCATTTGGCCAGTGTCGGGAACTGGTCGCCCCCGTCCAGGCAGAGCAGGTTGGCCAGGCGCAGGTCGTGCTTCTCCGTCTCGTACCATAACTGCAACAAGGATGCCGTAAAACCTCCCAGGATCAAAACTCACTTATAGACCACTATGGTGGGAAAATCTTTTGTGCATCAAACATCGCTACACTCATTTCGTTTAACAGGCACGGTCGTTAGGGAATTTGCTCGACTTAATGACAGAACAGTTTGTTTTCACTTTATCATCAAAACAACTCGGAAGAAAAAGTTGCACCTGGTGTGCGGCTTCCGACTGAGGCAAGTGCTCGTAAAAACATTTTGGCAGCTCCCTTGTACGCGTTAAGTACGACGGAAGAGCTGCGTCTAGATTTTGGAGAATTATTTCAAGTCTGCTCAGTCGCCCGGACTATGAAAGATCAACCCGGACGAGGGCAGACCAAACACGCGGGTACGCAAGTAGCAACCCGAGCGGCGCTCGCAGCCGAATCCTCACCTGGCGCTTGACGGTGGCGCACTCCCCAAGCAGCAGCGCAGAGCCCTTGGTGGTCACGTCATCCTCCGACTCTATGCACAGATGGCTCCCAAACAACTGGAGCTGCAAGGAGCAAGGAGCAATGCCAATCAAAGACGGTCTGTGTCTCAGGCCGCGGCCTCTCAGCCACCGTGCCAACCTCATTTGCTTTTCTTCCGTGGTAGGCTACGCAACGTCACTAACCGCATCCACGTGTTGCGAGACATTCTCTGCATCAATGCTACGAAGCGTTCGCCCCCTCGAATATTCCTTTCCTACATTTCGGTACAATCTTAGATTGTGTGGTATTTCATGTACAACTAAAGCTAGAGGAATTTAGGCACGACATACGGGAACGTATATCTCGTTTATGATATCGAAACAATACCATCCTTTGGTATGGGCCTCCGGAGGGGGGCACAAGTGGGGGGCACCGAGGGATTCTGGGGGGCATCGACAACGAGACGTTTCGATGGGGTACGTCGTAGTTGCATCGCTCATACATTGTACAATATGTACGATGTACACATTGGTTGTACAAAAACTTTCTGCAGATGCTTCCGTCATCCCATCTGCGGCGGATCTTTTGTGTGGCCAGTGTGAGTACCGCTTAATCGTACCTACTCAAACACGACCAGCACTATCCAATTTCGAAGGTACGTGCAACAAAGACGGCGTAAACTTGAGCCAACGCCACCGAAGTTGCAGTCCGACTTATTTCCATCCACGAAAGCAGAATAATACGAGAAAAGGATTTCGCTTTTGCCCCGTAATTCCAGGGTTGCTGACTTATCTAAAATAAAAATGCGAACTGCCCACCCGGAAAAATAGGGTTTGCCCCCCACCCCCTTTAAAAAAGTGCCGCCGATACCCACATTCTTAGGAATGGAGCTTGTTTTCTTTGTTTTCTTTTAGTGATGTATATAAATGTCTGTTAAGAATATTTTGAAAAGATACTCGCGAAATTATAAACATCTAATAAACATCTCGCCTCATGGTTCCATACAAAGCAATTAGAAAGGCAGTAAACCTCCTAATATCTTCGAAACGTAAAGTTTTGGGTCCCGGCGTGGGCACGCCAAATCGAAAAATGAGGTTCTGGCCCCGTCAGGGGTCCGAGCGGGGCCCCACCTGGAACCTTCCGAGGATGGCCGGCATCTTGCGCTTGAGATTCCTGTGCAGGGCCTTGTTGCGCTGCTTCTTGCTGCGCTTGGGCCCATCCTTGGAAGGCGGCTGCAGCTCCGGGTACACCGTCTTCATGTACCAGTCAAAGGAGCGGCACCCCAGGCGCTTGCGGAGCGCCACCCGTGACGTGATGTCCCCGTATGGCTTGCCCACCACGTCCGACCGCGTTTGGAAGTAGTACTTCTGCAAGGGGACGCCCAGAGAAGCTCGCGGCGTCCCGAGCACTCAGACTTCGCAAGTCCCCAAACAACAAACGGGCTGTTTTTATGTTGGCCCGCTTCAGTTTTAAGGATTAGGACTAGAAGCTCGAAAAACAAATTCCCACAAAGAAATTATTTTGAAAAAAAAAATAAACGGCTATAGTCGGTGGAAGGCTAGGAACGTGGTAGAAGATTCATTTCCAGTGCGAGCTTTCTGGCTTCGATGACACCTCGGTACACGCACCACCAAAGCCCGTTGGAAGGCAATGGGTGCATGCTGGGGGGGAAGGTATTTTCGACTCCATGGTATTCGTCGTCACCAACTAATGGCGTGCTCAAGCAAGTATCAGCCGCTGCGGGGCATGCGCCGGGCAGGCCCACCGTCTGAATGTCCCCTTCGAGGCTTCGGCCGCTCACCCCGAAGAGACGAGGGGGCAGCAACAAAAGTGGCAGTTTCTTCCCGAATTAAGACGGCAAGATATCGGGAACCACGCTCGGCAGGCGGTGATGCCGGCGCAGCCCCCTTTGTGTCAAAGCGTCGCCATTTACCTTGTAGTCGTCCATCCAGACGTGGGCGACCCTGAGCGAGTTCTTGGTGAGGGTGTCCTCGCCGTTGGGCGACCCGTAGGGGCGTCGCCGCCGGAACACGTGCCCCACTCGAGAGCAGGGGATGATCTCCAGCTGCCCGCCACACATCCAGATCTGCGCACGGAGATGCCCCGCAAGTCGCGCTAACGAGGCCTGGGCAGAGCTCGGCATCGAACCAACCAAAGAGTGACGCCAAGCTCGACAAAATGCCAGAAGAAAAGGTATGGGAGCAAAGATTTCAAACTTTGCCATATTTGTCAGGGACAGAAACATAGATTTGTGCAAAAACTTAAAATAAACGTTCAATAAGGCGAACTTGCGCCTACAAGCACAAAGAAAACGGTAGCAGCATCTTGTGTTGGCAATGAAAGGGCGACTGTCCTGAACCGGTGCCTTACCGCTGCTTTTTTATGAGCAGTATACTGTGAAGAATGACCCGGAACTTTCCACCATAGCAAAGATTGATAAAAGAAAGAAATGGGTCTAGCAGGGTTCGAACCCATTCCTCCATGTGGCAATCACATGCATTGCCAAGTCCATCACGCATGCAGCAGTACCGTAATTTCTCGAATATAACCCGCATCAAAATTAGCAGAAAATCAAAGGCGGTGGGGGTGCGGGTTATACGCGAATTTCGGCGGGCAGCGCAGCTTCCCGGCAATGCGTGCGAAGTCATAGGAGTAGATTCCTCAGAGTTCCTCTTTTCCGGTCTCCTATAGAGGCTTTCTTCTTCCCACCCTCTCCTTTTTTTGGGGTAGCCATATCCACTTTCTTTTTGTGGGCCCCGAGATGCTGGTCCATGGTGTCATCAAATCTGTCGCCGAAGAGGTCGGAAACTGAGTGGCAGGCCGGAACTACGGTATGATCGCTACAACATTGACGAGTCATGCGTGTAGGAATGGAGGAAGAAGCTGCAAGCCAGGACCAATCATCAGTCCACGGTTCTAAGACTGGCGCATACCCCGAGCTCGAAGAAGCACTTGTAAAGTTTGTTCAGGAGAGAAGAGATAGCGGTCACGCCGTATCTACAGAGATCCGGCATTACGACTTTTCTGGGTGAGATGGTGCGGAACAGTTTAAAAAATTGCTGCATTAGCAATCGCCTTCGCAGCATGGATGACGACGCTATCTGCCACAATGAAGGCGCCAGCGTGAGTGCTATATTCAAAAGAAAGGTACGGTTTCTAGTGAGATTTGAAAATGACTTTAAGTGGTTAGTGCTGGTAATATGCGAAGAATTTTTGTGTTTTTTCCGAGTGTAGCAAGCTGGAGCTGCGGGTTATATATGTGGGCTTAAGTTGAGCTAGTTGGTACACTTTAGTGATGCGTCAGCTTGAACTTACAGAAATATACTTAGAAAGGGCAGGACAATAAGGACAACAGAGGAAAGGACAGGACAATAAAGCAAGTTGTTAGTCAGATGTTATCTATTGTCCTGTCCTCTCTACGTCTATTTCTGTAACTTCAAGCTGATGCATCACTTATATGCAGGGGCGTGCAATACATGCACGAAAATATGCAGTATTTACGAAGGAAGCGTTTCCCAGCTTAGACGAGGTAATAAAAAGCTGCGGCCGCAAATGCTGCACCCCAGTGACACTTGGTCACTCCTGCAGTGGCCCCGCGCGAGGAACAAGTGAGACCGCAATTTACGAGGCGGGCAACCTGACGCAGGTGGGCCCGCCCGACTCACCCGGAAGGATATCTCGAGGTTCTCCCCACCCCAGATGTCCATGCCGTCGTCGTACTCGCCCAGGCGGTGGAAAAATTTGCGGTCCATGGCAAACAGGCCGCCCGCCATCGTGGGGGACCTGGGCACACGGTGTGCACTGCGTACAGCGGCAACTTCCTTTCTTCTCCATTGAAGAAGGCCATAAAAAGAAGCCGTAGAACAAACAGCTGCAAAGATTTGGGGAAGCCTGTCGGCACCCAGACCCTTTCCCCAACAGGGTTTTGCTCTCGGCAGACAAGACGTCAAACGCCTAGCCTTCTTAAAAACGGAGACCAAAGGATGGTCGCTTTCAATACCTTAATCTTCAATTCAGAACTGGTTCAGGTTTTTGCCGGGAGTATGGGAAGGCCGTAGCAAAACCTCGTCTTCCCTTCAGTGGCTGCCACTCAAACTATGTGAAATTGGGGATAATTCGGAATCATCTAAAAGCATCAGTACAGAACTCTTGCTCGCATTCGATTGCCTCATCTCTTCAATGTCTAACTGAACGTTTCGGCGTTGCAGGTTTTCCTCAGGAACTCGTTTTAATACAACTGGTGTATCTGTTATCTCCAAAAAAAAGTCAGTTAAAAAATGTACTAGACCTTCAAAGCGGGTTTTCCTTCCATATTTTCATAGAGTGTCTCACAATATCAACGCATTAGCCAACAAGTTCAATGTCGACACAGCCTTAGCATGGATTATAAATTCGTGTTTGATTCTCTTTGCGTCGACTATTTCCCGCTTTCACAAGGAAACACAAAGAGAAAGATGTGCATTGTGTGTCAGGTGTCATTTTTAAAATACCATTTTTGTGTGGCCTTTGTTATATCAGACAAACTAAGCGTTGTACGAATGAACTGCTGACAGAACACAAGCGCTGCATAAAGAACAAGGACCCCTGGAAGTTCCGAAACATCTGGTTGAATGTAACAATTGTATAGCATTGTGGGATTTGACATCAGTGGAAGAACAGAAAAAAGATGACCACAAGCGTTTGATAAAAGAATCGCACAATATACTAAGTCACGGAAATGCTGTTAAAAAGCCTTTGTCTGGTTTGTACCACTAACTTTAGCAGTTTTTAGGCTTTGAAAAATGCTGTCTGCAGCTTTCCTGGAAGAAAAGTTGTTTTGTTTTGTTTAGGTCGGGGTGACAGGGTTCAAAGATAAAGAGGAGGAAGATGCCGCGGAGGCCGTCATTGTCCTGCTAATTGTCGGAATGTACATTTGTGGAAGGAGGTGTTCTTGAATCTTTCCCTGCCCCTTTTTCGTTGTTTATATTTTTTTTCTTTCCATTTAAAGGTTTTGTAAAATAAAATTTCAGCTGCATCTGAAATTTTTTAATGTGTGTTTCGTTACCTGCAGTCTCGGGGTTTTTGAATCATGTTTAATGTACACTAGCTCATTTGCGCCTTTACATCTATTTCGTTAGAAATATGAACCTACTTAACTAAAGAGAAAATAAATAAATATATATTTTTTTATGGATGAATGTTAAGTCTTTTTTAGTGAAATCATCAGATTGCCTCTCTGGCCACCGTGATGATGTGACGACAAAAGAAGAGACGATCGAAAATAAAATAAAATTGACTAACATCTTGCCAAATATTAGTGCCGCACACTGGCAACAGAAAGAATAAAATGAACTCGAGACGAGGGACCGCGAACATTTCTTTCAACTAGTGGCCCCAAATGTCATTTGATGATTTCCTGCAAATGAGTCTTATTCAGTAGGAGAAACATGCTTTCGCTTTTTCATTCTTTACCCAGGTGAGCTTCGTAACCGAAAAAGATGCATCATTTAATTACGGCTCCGTGCTGAATTACGTCCCAATCCCTAAAGAAACCGTTTTATGCAGCCCCTTCCAAGGACCGTTGCGCCATCGTCTGTAAAGCACGACGCCAGGGTGGCCCAGGAGCCGCGGAGAGAGACACGGAGAGGGGTCTACGCACGGGATGGGGGCGATGGCTCCCCGCCCCTTGCGTGCCAGTCCCGCGGGGGGCGACTCCCACTTGAAGTGCAGTCCCCAGTTGAAGCCTCCGCGCACAATGGGGGAGGCCGTGTACTCGAAGGTGTCCGCGTTGATGATGTCGATGATGGGGCACGTCACCGTGGCGCGGTTGGCGCGAATGCGCTCCAGCAGGGGCTCCAGCCAGCCAACGTTCACCTCGCAGTGGCTGTCCAGGAACACCAGTACCTGCGGGGCACGCCACTCTCCTCACACCCGCGTCACAGTTTAAACCGCAGAGTCAAAGGGAGTGCTGACACCTTCCCGGAAAGCGCATATACCACATCCTCAAATGTGGTCCCCTGGTTTCTACTCCGACAATGTCGTGGAAGAGTCGTTGCATGCCACCACCCTGGTGGTGTCGCAGGGGTGGGAAGTCAAAGGGAGCGTTAACAACTTCGGGGACGGCGCGTTTAGCGCCTCCTCGCAAGTGGTCTCCCAGTTTCTACTCCGATGACGTTGTGATGACGGCAACGTTCGCATTCGTCCGTCATACCGGGGCTTCTACGATCGATTACTAGGATCGCAACACCTGACAGCATGACACACCGCCTCCCCAACGTTTTTCGTTGTCACTCGGGACCACTTTCGACGCGCAAGCGGAAGTAAACGGTTGGAGACGCGTTAAAAGCTTTTAAGGTCACTCTATGCGCGAAAGGCGCCAACAGGCATCCCTCCCCCTCAGCGGCCCGAGCACTCACCTCGCCGGAGGCGTTGCGGGCGCCGAACATGCGTGCGCGGATGAGGCCCTCTCGGTCCCGGGTACGGATGAGGCGCACGTGCGACGGGAGCTGGGACGACACATACTCCGCCAGCTGGGGGCCCAGGTCAACTGCAAACCACGGCCTGCTGCAGTGCCTTCGACCCAAAGGGACTCTTTCCCCGGATTCACCGGGCAACAGACATCCAAGCCAGCTCGCTAGAATCGGCCTTTTAGCTCGGACTGCGCGAAACGAAGCCTGCCAAGCGCTCGAGACTCCGTTTCATGCGCCACCCCGCTCGTGCACAAGCTTCGGCAACATTTTCCTTCGTGCAGTCTCGGGTATGACGCCAATTCTAGCACGCTGGCCTCACACTCCTTACAATTGTTATTGCGAGGAGCTGGTTTCTGGTTCTTTATATTTTAGAGCGAATACGTAAGCATGGCTAATAAACTGCTACTCTTCAGGAGCATTTCTTATAAGGTAAAGGTAAAAAAAGTACAGCCTGCGAGAATCTTGCAGAAAAGCAGACGATTCGACGCTCGTCTTATCGATTCAACGCCTCGGTTTGCAGTCGCAAAATGTGGTACCGCTCGTGAAATGGGTCAATTGTTTGGGAATCTTTACTAAGGGCAATCTCTTCTTCAAGCTACCTCTGTTTGTACACCAGTTTCTCCATAGTGGCGGGAAACAGAAAGAGCGAGAGAGGAGACTCGTTACCAGAGGTCGAGAAAAGGTCGGGTGGGATGTGAGGCCGCAAAAGGCTGGCGTGCGCACCACGATCGGCAGCCGAGAGGCTTTGTGCAACGGTGAAACGAGCACATGCTACGAGACTCTAAAGGATTCACTCGACAGATGTGCACCGTCGTTAGTGGCCCTGCAGAGTATGAAGAAAAACAGATGCGCACGCAAGTGGCACAGGTGCGCTCGAAACAAGTGGCCGTGAAAATGCAAAGAAGGGCACGAGTTAACTCGCGCCGCCGTCGGGTGCGTTCCCTAGAGTGCCGAGGCAATTTGGGTGCACCAAGTAGGAGCACCTTTCTTCCTAGAAAATGAGGGAAGGGGGACATACCTTGGGTGCTGTTGTCGTCCACCAGGATGACTTCGTGGAGCAGGTGGCGGGGGGTGCGCCCCAGCACTGTGTGCACCGTGCGCAGGAGGGTGGACCACGCCTCGTTGTAGAAGCAGACCACCACACTGGCCGTGGGAAGCTCCGCCCCGTGCTCCTCGCTGCGGCACCTGCGTCGAGCCAAGGCTGCTCTCTTTCCTTTGCTCCTTTCTTTGCCCACCCGGGGCGTGCTTCTTGCCCGGGTGGCCACCATCTCCGACTAGGCTCCAAATGCCTTCCAAATTATTCCTTTGTCTTTCTATTGCCTTCTGCAATGAGTGCATGCGCATGCGAAAACACATCAAAGCTAACAAAAATCTCGATAAATAATCGTGCATAATTTTATTTTACCAGTATTTAGTAAATTCTGCTTTAAATTAAAGAATACTGTGCCGACACGGTGCGTTCTCTCGCAGAAGGACACAATCCGGTCGCACCACTGCGGCAGGTTTTAGTGGTCGTTTTCCCACCTGCCTACTTTACGTACCAGTGGGGACACCGTTAAGCCAACACTGTGGCTTTAGAACCTTAGGACTAGGAGAAGAATTGACAAACTCTACAATTTCCTTCGATGGAGACGCAAGGCCCAACCATAATCAGCTACCCTCGCCACAAAGACCACAGCAGCTGCCCCAGCCGCCTTCGGCGCTAGAGGTGCTCTCGGCACCAAAACCAGAACCCAACAGCGGCCGCTCCCAAGTAGCGTGCCAAGATTACCGAGTGCTTACAACTGCTCGATCGAGGCCACACGGTTTATTAACGGTCGCGCCTGCAATACGAGCTCCGAGGATGGGACAAAAGCGCTGGTCGTCTGTCTTTTCGCCCACTTTTCTGTCAACAATGGGAGGAATTGGCGGGTAATCCGTCCAGGAGACGCCTAGCGATCGAGTTGCCCCCTCACTAAGTAAATCCACTCACAGGGGGTTGCGGGTGTCCGGCAGGCTGCGGTAGAAGCCCAGGCGGTTGCTGATGAGCAGGTTGAAGGCATGCTGGTGGTAGCCCGCCACCTTCACCTGCTGGTCCTTGGGGCTCCGGATCACGCCCAGCCGGGACGCGTCCGCAACCACCACGCTCCCGTCCGCCGCCTTTTCGGGGCCCCCGTCGACCGAGCCGCCGAGCTGCAAAGGTGGGCTGCGCTCGTTCCCGCTCCCGCAGCATCCTCTGACTCCCGTCCAGTGCGGCTCGACAGTGCTGGCATTTTCCGATAGTAATTAACTACTCCCAGAGAAAGGTAGATACGAGTGTAATTATACAAAATTTCAAAAGTAGTTATTTCCACGACTTGGACAGTCTAAGACCCGAGCATTAATTTATTACGCAAAGTCGGCAGTATAAGTTGGCATTTATTTTGCGTAGCATCCAGTCGGCATTTATAAGCATTCATTCTTAATGCAGCTGGGTGAGGAAAAAAGTTTTTTCCTCACCCAGCTGCACTAAGAATGAATGCTTAGAAATGCTAACTGGACTTTCTACGCCGATCGGATTTTCTGGTTTAAGCAAAATTGAAACCTAGCTCGGCATTGCAAAGTTTTCCGCAAAGAAAACGCGCATTTAAGTAGATATGCATTTTCTTTGCAAAAACTTTGCAATGCCGAGCTAGGCTTCAATTTTGCTCAAACTAGAAAATCTGATCGGCGTGGGGAGTTGCTCAAAAGCTCACAAGCACCGAGCAAAGCATTTTGTTCCCTCCTCGTCCAACAAAATGGACTTAATCGTACCCAAGCTGCTTCGTACAAAATGACTGGAACACCGCGCGAAGGCAACCCGGTGGCATACTCGGAGGAATGACGAGGGATCGGGAAAGGAGCTCACAATGCGGTTGCGTGGCCCCCCTAGCATCCCCGTGAGGCTGCCGTTGCCACGCCGCGGCCTCAACTTCCAACGGTGGAAGGGTCCCCCGCTGCCGGCCGGCCGGGGGGCCTCCGGGGGCCGCAGGTAAAGCAGCATCACCAGGCACCAGACCAGCAGGGTCGCCCCAATGCCCAGCAGGAAGGGCCGGTACCTGGGGGAACAACCCTGACGGCGCTTAGCCACTTAAAAGGAACTCGCTCGGTGCGCAAGTTTGGAGCCTCCTCACACCGTGGCACGTACCGGGAAAATCGACGCGAGCATGAAAAAGAACCGAAAAAGTGCCCCTTTGGAAAAAGGGTGCAGTGCCACAGAGGGGAGCGGCACTGCTTTGGGGTCACAAGAGAAAATGTTAATTCACCAACGAGACGCCTAGCAGCACATCCGAAAATATAGGACACCGAGGTACTTCAGTTCTATAAAGGGCACTGCAGCTCCCAAGGGAGAATTCTGGCGGGTGTGTTCCCGCGACGCACGCGACTTCTGGTACACTGCTTGAGAGCAATCACCCGTGGCATAACAAATTGTACCAGCAAAGCCATCGAGCGATATTAGGGCTACAACACCACTCGTTAGACAATGGCATATGATCATTGACCAAGAGGAAAGAAATATTTTATCATGTCGCGCATAAATTCCAATCTTACAGCCTTTTGTACGACCAAGTTTCGACAAGCCATCTGGTGAAAGTGCTTTTACATCTCACAGTATTAACGTTAGACTTTCCATTAAGACAAGAACATAGATCCACAATTCATTTATGTTAGCATTAGTCTCCAAAGTTTGTTTAGGAGGGAATCTAGAAAAGAAACATCAAATCTGACATTATGGAGTATAAGTCACCACGCAAGTTCTTGGATGAATTCAAATTTTGTTATTACTATCCACTATGCAAGAAGACCACGTAACATTAGGGTATTCGAGTGTAACGATTATTCTACATTTCATTCCGAGCAGTTCAGTAGTCCCTCCGAGTGGCTCAGGCAGGAAAGACAGGCCAGAAAGTCAGGAAATGTGTCGACGCTTCCTGGCTTTCTTGCCAGGATCTCGTTACCAAACTTGCCTCATGGTGTGGCCGCGTTCACGTCATCCTCACGCCCGGTCGGCCGTTGCGCTAGCACGTCCGACGAACCGTGGCCCCGAGACCCTCACGGCCTCCGCTGAAAAGGCCTCCTGCAAGCACCACGAGGGCGACCATCAACCAGACGAGCAGCCTGCCGTCTCTGGGCGCAGCCCAGGTGGCCAAAACCCCTCAAAACAGTGTGCAAGCACTCATGCAGCAAAAGTACTGTTTGGGCTCCAGTAAGAGTAAGCGTAATGCTATGCTCTGTTTCACCTTATAATGTACCGCAGGAAAGGCCGCAAGCGCGAGCTCCTTGCTCTGGGGCACATCTCGGCCGCACAAGCTCTCGAGACTTGAGAGCGGCTGCCAACGCTATGAGCTCCCGCTTCTAGCTTTCGCTGCGGTACAACATAAGGTAAAACAAGTATAGTGCAAGGTGGAAAATAATCACTCATGAACATAGACATGGAACATAGACGCGCACGTTGAGCACATGAAGCTGCTCAATGGGCGCGACACTTTCTAACATTTTCCCTAATCATTCATTGCTTTGTGTTTTGCACTTCTTAGTGAGTGATTGACTATTTCCAAAACAGCCTCTAATCCACAATCGCATCTGCTTTATTTCCACCCAATGAAACCCGAATTTCCTAATCATCAAACCTACCGATACAGAAACCTTCCAAGATGTATGATAAATTGAACAATATTTGTATTTGATAAGGTGGTGAAATATACCTATTGCCGTCATTGTTGTTAACACCACAACCACCATCGTCGCCATAGTATTATAATCACCATTAGAGGCCTCCATGAATAGTTCCAAAATTTCTCAATTCGGCCCTGATCCATTCTTTTTCTTCCAGATTTAAAGGTGGTCAAATGTCGAGAGGTTGCCTGCACTCTCCTCCAAGTATCTCCACTCTTCTAAAAAAGCAGGTAAAAAATACATAGGGACAAGAACATGGACAATACGGGATGCCCTGTATCGTCCACCTTTTTGTCACTGTGCATTTTTTTGCGCCTCTTTAGATGACCGTGAGCCCAACTGGCCCAAATTTCCGTTTTAATCTCTCCTCCCCTCCGTTAGACATTAAATCATACGCTTTAAATGCCATAGTAGAAAAGGGCCTATGCAATCTTTGTCACAGAAAAATACGGTTGCAGGTCTGGATGTACCGACTCTTTTAGCTTTGAGGAAAATCAAAAAGCCCGATTTTTTCTTTTATGTCACAAAATAGTGCTGCACCTTGTATAACAGCCCAAACAACCATCAGACGGTGGGGCATGCAACACTCAACAGTTCTAGCAACCATGTACACATTAAAATAAAACACGAGTAGCAGAAGCTGGCATACGAAGAGGAGACTGCAGAAATTACCTGCAGCGACATTTCGCTAAATTCTCTCATTCCTTTAGTGAAACACTGAGTGCCAGCCTGATGTACCCAGCGTTTCCTTCCGACAGCTAATTATGTAAATTATTTGAGTCACCGATGAACAACGTAGATTTTAAGGCGTCTAAACCATGGGTACGGATCAACCTGGTTTTACAGTCCCGTGAATTTATCGTCAGACTCAAAACAAATTCTCAGACCGCGTCAATTTTGAGGGGGCCAAAGTAGCTGGCCTCTGCCGAGGCATCTTATCGATGTGCTGACTACGGCAGTTGCATTTTAAGAGGATCATTTTGACATATTTCTCTTCCCGGAAATGCAGGATGTCTCATTTTCCGTGAAAGGCGCTAGACACAAAAGGCGAGTCACAAATCTTTCAAAACTGGTAAAATCGCTGCCGGCGATCAGGAATCCGCAAAGCCATATAATGCTACCGCAGTAAAACCCGTGGACAACGCTCCCTGTTCCTGGCGCAGGGAAAGACGCGTATTTTGCATGGTCTCCGAGCACCTGTCATGTTCTCCATGATCCGACGAACGCCGGAAGATTTCCTGGGCTATATTTTGACGCGACGCGACGTTAGACAGGTACAATGCCAGGGGGTAAACGCTTACCTGCAAACATGCTTTTATCTCAGGTATATCGGAATTACTGCCTCGTAACCAATAAGCCAACTGAGAGGTGCCAGTCAGAACACAGGCAGCACAGGCACAGCACAGTCAGCAGAGTCGGCGAGTCGGCGATGGATGTGTGTTGCTTGTATTGGCTAGGCTTGGCTTACTGGGCAACCTTGACTTTATAAAGAAATGGATATATGCAATCCACAAACTTCTGAAGTATGTTATTGCAATGACGGCAATGACAGCGTTTCATTCTAGATTTCGTATTAGGCGGTTCTTTGCGGCCTCTGGTTAAGGTAGAGTGCGTTCGTCTAAAATTAGAACACATTTTGAGAGTTTAAATGGATCTAAAAATATATATTTCGTGTAAAAATTAGTCTTGCAATCTTAATTTCTGCAAACTGTGCACACAATAAATGAAAAAAAAAAAAAAATCAACACGAGAACAAGAAACTGGTGGAAAATAAATAAATAAAAAAACGAAAAAAACGTTATTTCGAATGAACGCTAACAAATACCTTAAAACTGCGTCGAAACCAAATATATTTTTATAATAATTGTTATTCGTTCATACTTATTTGGTTCTTAGTGCAGTAGCAGAATGCCGTCTGCTTTCAGCACTGTCATTTTCCGAACGTTTCGGAAGCGCTCAAAGCAGACGACGGGTTTCTAAGCTTAGAGATCGAAATTCTCTACCTGGAGCTGTTAGTAAACCAATTTTTTAGAATGTAGCACAAATCTGACTGCAATAATGACCGAAAATAGGGTTTAGCACTGTCCATAAACCATTCTGGTCTTTTCTTAGGAGTTACCGCCAGAGAAATAACGATGAACAAGTTCATCTACTGCAACAACTGCTTCCGCCAGCCCGATCAGAGCCTTACATGTTACCTTACAACCTGCGCCCACATTTACTGCGCTATATGCAAGGAAAACTGCAAGTATATCCATATTTGTTATCTTGTGCTTGAAACTTTTTCCCTCGGAATTGCTTGCAACACAAAATGAATGCTGTTGTATAATAATAATAATAATTTTTATTTGCACGAGAAAGTTTGCCCACTCAGCGTCGTGCAAGGCTAGACAGAAAGGTTTGTACCCTTACGCATGTGCGCCTGCTAGCCCGCCGCTGAGTAGGTGTAAACATAAACAGTAGTCGTAAGCTTCGGAGCTGTGTGATGTCACTAAGTTTGCGCTTCAAGGAGAAAATATAAGCTTCATATTGGCTTTCCTTCGTTTATATATTTGCTTTATTTAGTTAAGAAAACCCTCGCAATTATTGCTTCAAAAATTACCAAAAATTTCGGTCGGAGTTAAAAAAAAAAAAAAAAATTTCAACCTTTTTACTCTGGTGAAGAAGGAAGGCCAGCGAAGCTGTACAATGGAAAGTAATGGCCGGCCGCATGTCGGTAAGTAGAAAGGCTGCTGCCATCTATGAGCGACGGTGGCAACCAGATACTTGGCTTGCCGCCGTCGCTCATAGATGGCGGTAGGTCTCCAGAGTTCGGTATCTTCATTTCTTTGCGGGGGACACGATTTTGGGGAAACTAGCCCTTAACAACCCCCTGTAAAAAAAAAAAAAAAGCTTTAGTTTTATGGCAACGTTTTTTCAACTTTTCCCACAAACGCAGGTATTCGGGGGGATCAATGCAAACTTTGTGGAGAGGCGTGCTCAATTACTGCGTTAACAGGACACGTAAGTCTACGGGGCGCATTTCGTAAATTATTTTCACTTTCTGTCTGCTTTTGGGAGACGAGATGACTAACACAAGTGGACTGGCCCAGCGGCGAATAATTATTTTTAAAAAATCGTTCGTAACATTTCTTTTATACGGCTTAATTTCTGAAGCTGACCTAATCTAATAGCGCATCACTGGGCGTTCCAATTTGAAATAACATTCTCGGCATTTCTCGCGGCTTTATTTAAAAACAATTTAGGCATTCACGATATTCGTAAATTATTTCAAATTAACGATTCAATAGTGTATGAATACAAAATAAACTAAACTAAATTAAAAAAAGACTATAGACTATTGATAAGGGGGACGAAAAACACGTTTATTAGCTGACATCACGTGACCTGTCGTCACGTGGCGTCACAGTATCATGGGACACCAGAAATTTCGCCTCTAAATTTAGCGACCAAATGCACGGAGACACGTATTGACAAATTTCTGGAATTAAAGGGTTTCGTTAAAAAAACAAAAACTTAATAACCCTGCAAAGTTCCGCCTTGGCGATTTTTTTTTTATTATTATTATTTTTTTTTTTTTTTTTTTTTTTGCAGTTAGTATAAACATACTTGGAATTCCGTTTTGCAGATAGATGCTGGTATTCGGGACCTATTCAAAGACCCGAAGCCCCTAATGGAGAGATCGCAAATGGTAAAATATTCTGCCTTTCAATTCCCTCTCACGTGCCGATTATTAGAAGGTGCGAACTCTGCACAATGGTGATGGCCGAACGAGAAACTGGCAAGTCATTCCCTAAGATAGCGAACGTCGGAGCGCGGCCAACAATACGAGCCGACGAGCCATTCAAACAGCGTTGAAAGTGCAACGTCACTTCGAGCATCACCTTTTTCTGTGGGTGTCTTTTTTTCCAGTGTGGGCCGTGTGCAGGAATTTCACAGCGTCCAACAGAGGGCAGGAACTCGAAAGTGGTCTATTGCACAGGGGAAGCGATTTTTGGGACGCCACAATGGGATGGGCGTGGTTTAGTGACTGTCACGTGCTCTGTGACGTCACTTATGATGCTAAAGCTTATTTTTCAGTCATAGTTTTAAGTATGTAACATTCCCATATTTAACAGCTGCTGTGGAAATATTAGCAAAGGTTGCTAATATCTGGTTTGGATCGCCAGCGCTATATTTCCGATTTTCAGTGTTCAGAAATGTGTAATTTACTTTTGCGCTAAAAAAAAAAAAAACAAATAAAAAAAAAAGAATAATAATAAGGACATTGCTTCTTTTTTTTTCTTTTTTTTTTGAAAAAAGTGAGGGGTGGAGGGGGGGGGGGGGAAGGTTATTATTTCGAATATAAGGAAGCAGGTTGTTGGATATTTTATGTTAGCTTGGGAATTCATAATTACGCAAATTAGCCTCCACACTTCAGAAAGTAGAAGGGAAGAAACGATATGGTATCTCGTTCTTTTTTTAATGTTCCGGTTTTTTTTTTTCTCTTATTGGAAAAGGTTAAGATGGAATTGTTTACTGTTGCAGGGTGATTTCATTTCAAACCGTGCAATAAAAAAAATTATGATAAAAAAGGTGGAAAAATATACAAGGTGCTTATTTAGGATTCATAGACTTGCTAAAAAAATTTTTTTAAAAAGCCGCGCACGTTACACTAATCCGGTCTTTGCACGGGAGTTAAAGGGAGCAGGATAATTGACTAAAATTTGTAAATTAACTTTTGAATTATTAAAAATAGACATATGGTTTAGAAACTGGAACAGCGTCATCGAAAACGAATGAATTTTAGAAACAGTTTGGGACAAATGTTATGCGCGGTAGTGAGCTAGAGTTATTAAACGTGCACAGGGCGCCATGATGGTGGCGTAAAAACACGGGTAATAAGAGGGGGAAAAAAACCGCGAGGGCGCGTTTTCGCCTCTTTAGCCTTGCGCCTGCTTCACGAGTAGGAAATTCAGCGCACCTCCACGTTTCCCAAAGCCTCCAATATTTCTAAAAGTAACCTATTTCTTGGTTCTCCATGGCGAGCAGCAAGTTTCTGATTGGAAACATATTTATGTTCAAGAATTGCCGAAATCATTTTAAAACAAAAATTGAGGTAATTAACCTGCTTATCCTAACGATTATCCACCCAGTATTATATCCTCTTGACCGCATAACTTATCTGGACATACCGCATTAATGTAGCTTTCGCGGAAAAACAAACAAACACGGTGGTTTACATGCATTCTTAGTCCTCCGCTGGGGCGTGCCAGCAAGGTGCCCTTTGTTGGTTTGGCACCTAAAAAAAACCCAAGTTCAAAATTAAAAAAAAAACAAAAACAAAAAAAAACTTTATATGCTGGGAAAACACTTGACTCAAACAAATCTGAAAAAAAAAAACACACACACAAAAAAAAACGCTTTTCTGGGGAGTATTTAGTTTCTGACAGCGAAACGAAGGAGTAGGATTTTAATATTTCGGCGTTCGCGACAGGTCGCGCGTTTGGGTGTTTCGCCCGGTTCGGATATTTTTTGGCACAACCAGGAAGCTTCCTACATGTTCTTTTACAACTTCAATAAAAAGACAAATGTACGTAAAAATTTAATTTTGCTTATAATTTGTTTTTATGAAATTCAGAACCTAGCTTTCGTGTCAATAATTTACCCGGTGCGAATGAGGATAACTTTCATCACATTCAACTTTACGGTACACATTATATATAAAATAAACTCGCAGGTTGATACCTATTAAACGAGTATAATATTTTTTATTGTAAGTTAAAGGGGCGGTGCAACAATTTTTGCACTTTCAGTAAATACCACTTGAACTTTTCCACGACATTTGCACCATATAAAAATACTCGACAGATTTTTTTTTTACGCAACAATTGTCGCGGAAAAAACAATTTTTTTTTTTTTTGGGGGGGGGGGGGGAGGGGTGGGGGGGCGGACGCTGTTCAAAAATCGAATTTCGTCGAATTATCGTCTTTCCAAAACGTCGAAAGCTCGCCGAACCAGTCGAAACTCAAGCGTGGACACGAAAGTTGGCGGCATCCACTCATCCTCCACCTGCGGTTGACTGTGTTCCTTGTTTTCACTCAGGTTGTAGGCTTCCAAATCGCCCAGCTCTCGGGATTTGTGAGCTACCTCATCGAGCAGGTAAATCCACGCATTTTGAGGGGGGACACTCAGGCAGTGCCGATTCTGAGATCGTCCTTTTGTGGAGACAACTCAATCTAGACGATCATAACGAACCCGAAATCACAATTGTGCGTAGCTTACTTCCTCGTTAAAAGCGTTTTCGTCACAAGATATCGATAAATTTCTAAAATAAAAAAATGTATAAATAAACAAATAAAAAATGGCAGGCGTTGGATGTATATTTTGCGAGATGTGGATTTTTCAAAATATTTTGCGTGCACAAATTTCGCGATTGGGAGTGCCGAATGAATTCGTTTATGTTTTCCGT